TTATTCATGCTACTTATAAAGAAAGTAGAGACAACTCACGTGGAGTCAAAGCAACAAGAATCCCAAAGGAGTAAGCTTAATTGTTGTCATATGATGTAGCCATTGTTGGTGATATGATTGAGTCAATTATAGACGCAAGCATGCAATACAAACTTCAAATTGAGGGGCAATTGCAAACCCAAGGTAAATTTTTTTTCCAATAAATCTGCATCTCAAGGTTACAAAATAAAACCATTTTCAAAATCATTCATGACATTTCCAAAAGTATTTCTATAAAAGGCAATATCTCAACGTATTTTCAAGAGCAATTTTTCAATTCAATTCTTACCAAATAAGCATTCCATAACATTTTTGTACCAACATGACATATCAACATAACATTCCATTTCATTTTCCTGCCAAATAAGCATTCTATTATATTTCCCTACTAACATGACATTTTGTTAGTTTTGTCTACAAGCATGACTTTTCACATAACTTTTTATGCAAACATTTAAGCTTTTTTTCATCCCATTTAGCCCAACATGCGGCTAGCATTTCATTCATGCCCAACATGCGGCTAGCATTTCATTCAGCCCAACACGTGGCTCATATCATTCAGCCCAACACGCGGTTCATATCATTTAGCCCAACACGCGGCTTGCATTTCATCAGCCCAACATGCGGCTTTGCATATCATTCAGCCCAACACGCGACTCATTTCATTTAGCCTAACAAGCGGCTCATTTCATTCAGCCCAACACGTGGCTCATTTCATTCAGCCCAACACGCGGCTCATTTCATTCAGCCCAACACGCGGCTCATTTCATTCAGCCCAACATGCGGCTTTGCATATCATTCAGCCCAACACGCGGCTCATATCATTTAGCCCAACACGCGGCTTGCATTTCATTAGCCCAACATGCGGCTTTGCATATCATTCAGCGCAACACGCGGCTCATTTCATTCAGCCCAACACGCGGCTCATGTCATTCAGCCCAACACGCGGCTCATTTCATTTAGCCAAACACGCAGCTTGCATTTCATCAGCCCAACATGCGACTTTGCATATCATTCAGCCCAACACGCGGCTCATATCATTCAGCACAACACGCGGCTCATATCATTTAGCCCAACACGCGGCTTGCATTTCATCAGCCCAACATGTGGCTTTGCATATCATTCAACCAAACACGCGGCTCATATCATTCAGCCCAACACGCGGCTCATTTCATTCAGCCCAACACGCGGCTTTGCATTTCATCAGTCCAACATGCGGCTCATTTCATTTAGTCCAACACGCGGCTCATGTCATTCAGCCCAAAATGTGGCTTTGCATTTCATTATGCCCAACATGCGGCATAGCATCTCATTCAGCCCAACTTGCGGCTAGCATTTCATACTGCCCAACACACTGCTTTGCATCTCATTTGCCCAACATGCGGCTTTTTCATTTCATACTTACCCAACAAGCATCACATTTCTTTACATTTCATATTATCATTTCTTTCTGTTATTTCCAGTTACCCAAAATCAAGCTCATACAGGTCAGATTTCTCCTTATTTTATCTTGGTTAAATACCCTTTTTGGTCCCTCTACTATAGGAAAAAGCCCCTTTTT